GAATTGCATTGAGTCATTATTATTCACACCCTTATAGTATACATCCACAGCACAGTATGATCAGCTAATTAGTCTTGTGTTAGCAACAGTGGGTAAAATGTTGAATAATACCTTCTGAAAAAAAAACATACTTTTTAAATTTCACTAGTTTTTTTAAGCATTTTTTGTTTTAGTTTCTATTTTGATAAGTTATTATTTTAATTTTTTGTTGCAGCCATTTTCTTTTTAGTTTTCATTCAGTAAAAAACCACTTCCTTTTTTGGACTAAAACACTCTGTAAATGAATTGTTAAGTGTCTACTGAATCTTATATTAAACTCCTATCAAAATTCAACAAAGTTAAATACTTTACGTCTTAGCATACAAAAATCCATTCTTTTAAATGTCACATTAAATTCTTAAGTCATTTTTTGTTTGAATATCATCATATTACTGAAAACGAAAAGTTTAAAAATTCAATACATTTGGTGGTATGTAGTGTTCTAAGAGTGACATGTGAACTTGAAAATGTTTCTGTTTAAAAGTTAGAAACTGAATACTTACATCAAAGTGAAGCTTTGTTATTCCTGGCCAAGAAAATGATGAAAGACGTCTTTTGGTGATGCCAAGATTTTCCTGCCATAAAAATAACGTTATAATCTCAAAAGAAATAGAATGTGTTGAAATTAAAACACAAAGTATTTTACAACACAGGAAAGGGCTTTAAACTTATTATATACATGTTTAGGAATTATGTTAACAATCTTTATATGAAAAAAAATAATTTTGTTAACATAATTTCCAAACACCCTTTGAAAAATATCAAATATAGAAATACTATTATTTTATTTCCATCAACTATTTCAGTTCTCATCTTATGACTTAGTCTAATAGAGAATTTTTTTTATATGTCTCATTGTATCAAACTTTTACAGTATTCAATTAATAGTCTAGTCCAGAATTAATTTCCTTGTGTGATTTCCTATATTTACCAAGACTTTTACCGATTGTCAATATAACAGTATAGTCTCGTAAGTAAAATTAAAATATGATCTGTTTGTTATTTACTGGAACTTTTAACTTATTTTCTAAAACTCTCATTAGTTCTCAGTCCTGAGTAACCATATGTACAATTACATACAATACAAGATTTAGTTATTTACACGGTTCTTAAACAAAGTTAAAAAAAAATGTTACGAAAGATTTGATTAGACATATTAGTATTAAATCACCGTAACGACCTATATTAAAGTTAATTGTCAATTTTAAACTAAATTCATATAATTAAAATGTTCTGCAAAAGTCAGACAACATAAATAACAATTTTTAATCTTTAAATTAGGTGGTAATAAAAAACACTAATGAATTAATGGATTTTTACCTCATAATTTAATGGATTTTTACCTCATAAATTTTAATGGATTTTTACCTCATAAATTTTATTGGATTTTTACCTCATAAGTTTTATTGGATTTTTACCTCATAAGTTTAATGGATTTTTACCTCATAAATTTCAATACCATTGCAGCAGATTCCGAGCCAAACATCGTCAAACAGCTTTCCTTTCTTTCTCTTCACAGAGAAGAGATGCATGTTATGAGCAGCTTTTGTGTCAGAAGCTTCTTTGATGTAGTATGCCTGAGCTTCTGTTTTACTCAGTCCCCAGTTATCTTGATGCATTTTTGGCAAATGTTGTATAATATATTTTTCTCCAAGTCTTTCAAGAATCTATAATTCAAAATATTTCAAATAGATAAGTGAAATCTATTTCAAACATCTAAAGAGAAACAGAAGTCAAGATGATGACACAGTAAAATATGTAGAGTACATGAGCCTGTTTCAGTCTCATCAGTTTTTTTTATTTTTTACCCTGTACAGTAAGTTATTTGTATTTTATTGCAATTTTGAGATTGAAAATAGTCTCATTTTGAGAATTTATTGTGTAAAAAATAGTCGTTGTTTTATAAAATGTGAGTTTTTTAACATCAAACTTGAACATTTTTCTGAATATAAGAGCTACCCTAATCAGTTACTTTCAACAAGATGTTAGTCTATTGTCTCATGCATCATTTAAGTGAAAAGCTATTCAATTTATATGTAGTTAAATCTTGAACTGTCAAACTTTCTATTCTACAAAGTGAGTAGAAAAGTTTCACCATCAACTTATTATAGAAACTGGTGTTTTAGATCTTGAACTGTCAAACTTTCTATTCTACAAAGTGAGTAGAAAAGTTTCACCATCAACTTATTATAGAAACTGGTGTTTTAGATCTTGAACTAGTCAAACTTTCTATTCTACAAAGTGAGTACCTAAATATTGTATAAATCATCAGTAGACAAATGGAGGGATTAAATATTCATTTTATAAGCCTTGCACTCTAATTCAATTACATAATATCTTAATGTTCTTCCTACTTTTCCTAATGGAACGAAACCATTTTTTGTTTTACACAGAAATATTCCACAATCATCAAAAAAGTACTTTTAATTTCAACAACCAACCTAGTCTACCAAGGTTCTTACTCTCTCACAGTCATCTGTACTTTCTCTACTCACAATCAAATTTCACATTTATCACAGGTTAAGCATTTTTATCATTTGTTAAAGTAAGAAACACAAAACGTAAAATTGAAATAAGTTATCACAAGCATGAAACACTGACCAAGAAACTTTTATAATGGTAATTAACTACCATATTTCATTTTTTCTTAGCTAACTTAGCATTGTCACACTTATCATGATCTCCTAAAACTGACATCTTAGACGTTATCTCTGTATTTCATATGTAAATGAGGGCTTTTAAATTCCATTTTTGAGTAGTGAGGTGAACAATTTATAGATGTTACATAACATTACTCATGAGATCCTTACAACAACAACTATTTTATTGGATAGTCAACATGGTTTCACTAAGGGAAAATTTTGCCTTACAAATATTTTAATATTCTTTGAAAAGATTACTGCTTATGTAGAAGAAGGTAAGGATGTAGATTTGGTGTATCTGGATTTTCAGAAAGTATTTGACAAGTTGCCACATAAAAGGTCTGTACAAAAATTAGCTCTATAGGTGTGGGGGATAAGTTAGCAAACTGGATAGAAGAGTGGCTGGATGGAAGAAAGCAGAGGGTTGTTACAAATGGAGTTCAGTCAAATTGGATTAATATCACATGTGGGGTACCTCAGGGCTCAGTCTTAGGACCTTTGCTGTTTTTAATTTACATCAATCACATAGATAAAGAGA